CTTGCACCAAGTTAAAAACATATCTCCTTATTTTTTCTGTTGTTTCTTTCCTCGTCCGGACTAGTTCCTGTTCCCTGCTTGGCTTTACGTATCAAGAAAAGCGGATCAACTTAGATTACAGCAGGCTTTGTTAAATGATTAACAATGACCGTATAAGGCCACTTTGGAACAATGGCGGAAACAGCTTCAAAACACACGCGGGATTTTCAAAATTTCCGATTATCATACGAGCGCCAGATTTAAACCATCCGCAAAACTGACGATAAGACATATCCTCCCCGTGGGGGGTGATTGTGGTAGATTTTTTAGGAAGCTAATAGTCACGGTGGGTTGAATGGTTGGGCGACTGTTGCTTTCGTACCTGAAGTAAAGAGATGTCACAGTTCTTTCCTTTATATTGCTTAACACAGGCGAACGATACATTTAATTAGAAGCTCACTATGCGATGCAAAGGCAATGAGAGCATGTGTAACCTGGTATTAATGTCCAAAGCCTCCCGCGCCGTTGAATCATGTAGAATACTATCGTCATTTGATCGATTGTTTAATGTGGGTGTATTTAAATTTCGCACTGCGTGAATAAGATGTTGTTCCTAATGTGCACAAAAAGGTTCATATTCTCCTTCCTCTATAGTGCGATTTAAATCTGGTAATGATGTGTGTTTGAAACACATATTTCATATTTTGGTTTGTCTGTGTGTCGGTCACTGCCAGCTAATAACTGGCTCAGTGCTGTTTGTTCCAACAGATCATGGTAATTAACTCATTCTTAACTTGTTTTACAGCATTTAAAATAAATGAAATAGAAATAGATGAACGTATGTTTTTTGTAACCATTTTAATACTGAGTTTCAGGTTCTAATGAAGGGCCTCGCTCATAATTCCTTTGAAATTTTCGACAATAGAAGTATTCAGTAAACGTGTTTACACCCTTTTGCCACCCAGTTTAGATCTTAACCCATTACATCCTAACATGCATGTTCTTCAAATTGTTCAGCATAAATTTCTATTGTGCCGACAAGGATGGTCTCTTTAACGATAAAGAGCATCTTTAGTAAGTGATCATTTCCTTCGTCCTCCTGACCTGCATGTGTTACCTCAATGTGTGATATTATAAGGAAAAATTAGATGCTAGTGTCTCGTACAGATCAAAGGATAAATACTACGTTTATTCCTTAGGGATGTTTAAAATGTGCAATTTGACAAACACCTCTGGTCAAAGAAAAACAAAGGTAAAACAATGGTATCCTCGTGAATGAATCATCACACGATCTGGATTGGGTATTAACGCGGATGTAAACGCTTTGGCTGAAACCGTCTAACAACTCTAACTTTCTCTATTTCTTTACCGAGCTCAAATCTAAACAGCTTTCTTATTCTATATATGAAATATGATGCTAACGACATTGCTGATCCTCTGATCCTAGCAGTATGCGGGACGCGTGTCATATATAAACTTCGTAATGAGCCTTGCTCAATTTTGAGTCTCTGTGGCTCAGTGGTAGAGCATAGAAGTACGGAATCCGAAGGTGTGAGGTTCGATTCGTCATGGGGACTCAGAATTTTTTGCTGGTCCCACGCTCTTGACAAGATGAGAAAACATCTCTCTCTCTACAAGAAAACTCGTTTGTTTAGCATACCTTATAGTAATCTGTAGTATAAATATCACGTGACATTCCAAAATCTCCAATCTTCACAATGAAGTCATCTCCAACTAAACAGTTCCTAGTCGCCAAGTCCCTATGAACAAATTTCATCTCGGCTAAATAATGCATGCCAGCGGCGATCTGGGTTGCGGCAGACACAAGGGTTTCTTGAGAGAGATAAACTGACGAAAAAGAAGACAAGAAGGCACAGTTAAGTTGAAGATCTACCGTTTGCAAGTTCTTAAGTTTTTTTCGCCGGTTTTGAGTTGTTGCAACTATGTGTGCGTCAAATGTATACCAGGCAGTTTGATCACCTATTAGATTACAATTACATCACGGGCAATAAGAATTAGTGCGAAAACCGGAAATTTGATTGCCTGAATCTCGAAATTAATACCGGTATAGACAAAGATTTCCATCGCAGTGAAGTCACTAGACCCGAGCAAAACTAGTTTTGATGTGTCTCGCTGGCGAAAATCGCAAATGTATTGTCCCATTAATTTAGCGCAACGTGAACGCAGCATGTCGAGTTACTAAAACGCAAATTACCGAGCGTTTGAAGTTGGCGTTAAATCATATATATCGCGTTAGAGTTGTGGTACACTTGCATTCTTAAACAGCAACAACTCTACGCAAGATAAGGTAATCTTGCTCCATTCTCTCGACTTGGTCCATGGAAAAACCTACCTTTCCCTTTCTCGCTGGATTCAAGCGATGTTTCCGC